TCAAGAAGGACTTAGCCAGTTCGACGATGGGGGTAAAGTATGAAAAGCGTGTGTAGCTAGGGTTTAAACACCGACAAGCATAGCTCGTTCCGATATGTTGATCGAACTAAAGAATAACCGACGAGTATATGGTTCGGGCACACATGGTAATCACTTCGCCGTGTACCATAGAGATGCCCTGAATAATTTAAGGGACTGTTCGAAATAACGGTTATCGAGAAGTCCTACTTCGGGTATGTAGCTCTAATAGCTCAGGTGTTGAGATCGCCTTAGCAAAGATAAAGAGTGCACACCATACTTGGAAGAAAAAAAAAGAATAACTTTCATTACCATTTAAAAAAAAAAGAGAAAGAGAAAAATGACAAGGCAATAACCGAGCTAAGCAGCTCGGAAAAGTTTAACAATCACAGGGCATAACCGCCCAACAGAAGGTCTTTGAAAGACTGGGTTTATGGCACCCGGGAGCCACCAGAAGTCCAGGAAAAACACCGCCTCAGGGATCCGCCTCCTCATCCTCGTCCTNCGGGGAGTCAGGCTCCTCTTCCTCCGCTTGATCCGCCGTCTCGGGAGACAGGCCCTTCATAGTGATGCCGTCGAGGTTGAGCCTGGAGAACTTCTTCCGAACCCACCACCGGCAGAGCTTAAACCTAGAGCGGTACGAACTCGAGCCATATTCCACCTGGAGGTCGAGGTATTCCTAGGAGTCTTTGAAATCCCAAACCGCCTTCTCTCGTTCAGCCTCCACCATCTGGTCAAAATTTCGAGTCCGATTTAGAAGAGTGGACTCCAGGTCCCGTATCTGCTGCCGAAGGAAATCCCTCTCTGCCGCCACCCTCGACTCCTCCTCCTGGTAACGCGTGCTCTCTTCAGAAAGCTAGGCAATTTGGGCCTCCTAGTCGCAGACGAGCAGCTCTTGAGATTCACTCCCCTTGCGAGTGTGATGGAGCTCGCCCCGAATCCGGTCGAGCTCGCCCTGGAGCTTCTTATTAGTAGCCCGCTGGTCGAGGGCATCGACGTGGTGGATGCGCGTCTGGAGAGCCATAGCATGGATGGCGGTATTCACCTGCCAACAGAGAGAAGATCAGAGGACAACAAAAGGAAGCCAAATGAGAGAAGAAAGGAAAGAATCACTTACCACCATGTAGTGGGAGGAGGCGAACGCGACGAGGTCCCCGGGCTCCATATTCCCCCATTGGGCGACCTCATCGTTGTTAATCGCCTTCCGACTCCTCCGACGAGCCACGGTGTAGTCGTTCACCCCTTCCCAATTCCCCACTGGAAACGAAGGGTAAGGGAATGGCTAGAGAGGGTTATGGGGAGTCACCCCCTGCTGTGGGAGCTCGCCCCCTCCAAGGCCAGCCCCACTAGTTCCCTTGGATGGAGGTGGCGGGATCTCAGGCGGAGGGGAGGAAAAAGTCGGCTTGCCAGATCCTAACTCAGTACCCCCTGAGGTGGGAGTTCGGTCGGGGTGCGAGTCGATACCAGACATGATGGCTGCCAAGGAGAAATCACGGTATTAGTTCGGTAAGAACGAGATATGTATACATATGAACACAATGTCGTGACAAATACCACGCGACCTAAAAGGACAACCTACCCGGGCTCAGGCCGGCCTGCACGAGCTTCTCCTCGGCCAAGTAGTCCGAGCAGAGGAAGTCTACTAATGCCCATGACAGCATCATTTTCTGAGTTTCGGGGTCTAGCTCGGCCCCAGAGTCCTGGATGGTGCCCCTCCAAGAAGTAGGGAAGGACCACCCTTCGGGGTTGCGGACAAAAAAATAATCCCGCTTCCAGGCGGGGATTTTCTTTGGGAGCTCATGCAAGAGCTTGTAGCCACGGCGGGGAGAGAAGTAGTAGAGACGCCTCTCCGGCGGGGCCCC